GGTATCCGACTTCCGTCGATAAGTCGTTCTTGTTGAGATAATATTTTTTCCACCGTCAGCGTTTTATAACATGCCATATGGTCGAAAATTTTCGCAACCTGTGTAGAATTACAATGAACCTAGAGAAAGTAAAATGTTTCAACAGATATTATGAGAGTTAAGGAATGTAGTAAAATGTGCCATTGTATAGATATATCTGCTGTATCCTGTTCGGGGTCTACAATGATCATAGCAATGTACCTACTAAGAACTAAGAAAACATTGTAGAACGCAATAAAGTATTAATTGATTGATTTATATCTGGAATCTAGAGTAGTGCACTACACAAGGGGTCAAATATATTTATATCGATTGCATAAGAAGGGTAGCATAAGTTGGAAGCAATCTAGACCATATTATATGGAGCTTCTTGTCTACAGACCATAGTTATAGGATATCCGCTATGGCCTACATCCCTAAGATTATGATTCATTAATCTAGTATATATAAAAGGCAACCGTTACTGACTGACTGATCTATTAAAGCACAGCTCAAACCACTGACCGAATTGCGCTGAAATTTGGCACACATATAGCTGTTATGACGGGAGCGTACACTAAGAAAGGAGTTACAAAAACTCACCTCCCAAAGGCGTGAAATGTGGGTCCAAAGATTTTATGGAAAACTAATACTGTCACGCAGACAAAGTCGCGGACACCTATTAGTAAATAATAAAAGCTCTACCAACCTTACTTCAACCCCAACCACGACTGTAATCAAATTCGCTTTACACCACAAACATATATAATAAAATACAGAGATGGTATTTATAAAACAGATGTTATATATTTGGAAATAAATGAAAACTCCTTTTGAGAACAAAAGAAGAACAGTCTAAAAATAAGTTCTATTGATAAAGCTATGCCGAATGCCCCGGCGTGTTTTCAATCAAACTTGGGAGGCGTCGCCACCGCCGCCGGTCTACAAAACATCAATAATTATTTTCGCAGGAACGACTCTGGCAACAAAGGAGAATAAATCACTATAACAGTGATGGAACGATGCGATATTGCTAAGAGAACCTCAGGGTTCCTAAGTAAGTTTTTTTTCTTTACGAAAGACCTAATAAACTTCTAAGAGGTATCTGATATTAAATAAGAGTATTTTAATAAAAAAACTTTACTTGTCACCTTAACTTTTCCGGCTTATTGTCTTAACTGTTGAATTAACTTAATAAAATATAAACAAAGCAGGAACATAATACCACAGAAAAGTGTTAAGTATTCTCTAAGGCTTCATAAAGTGCGGTCCTTAACCACCATGAGAAGATAATTTCAATAAATTACAAATTTATTGGAAAAAAATGCAAAATGCTGATTTCGCTGACAATCTAAATTGTCAATAATAAAAACTTTGACAACCAAATCAGCTTTTTACATCTTGTCTTTGGAGACCTCTGCCATCCTCGTCTGGTGTCTCTTCTATCATTTCTTCACTCAACCAATCCTGAAAAACATCGCTGTAAGCCTTAAACTTATCAGTGGTCGACAGTCATTTAGTAGTACTTATTAAATTCTTTATTGGTCCATAATGGATTGTGGTACTCCTTCCATGGTAAATTCACCTCGTATCTACCGTTTATCGTTTTTGTAATTGAGTTTCTGTTATTCCGTAGTATTTTCCAATTCTGTGCTTTCAAGGCTTAGTTTCTGCCGGATCTTTGATACTCGGAATCAGAATTTTATTTGTGAAACGTAGGTTAATGTTTACATGGTATATAAAATTTTTGTTAGTATCACTACATTTCCATCTTAACTAAGGTATACAAATAGGTATGGACCTATGAAACAAGTACTATTATTTTGGTTACATTGAAATCACAATTTATGAATACAATTTGAAATTGTCTATTGTTACATGCATGTCAAAGTAGATTATAAATTAATTATAAATTTGATAAGCCATAAAGTTGTCATACTAATAGTCAAAAATTTTATCGAAAAATAAGCAAAATGTCCAAAATCGCAATTAAAACACATTTCTTAACTGGATTGTCAATTTTAATATGTCTTACTTTTTTAATAGTGAACTGTTTTTAAAAAGACATGTCCGATTTAATTACAGGATTTGTCATTTTAAAATTCCTCAACTGTGTAGTAGGCTTTTTCAACTAATAATGCCAACAGACGCTTCTTAAAAAATCTTTATTGGTAGTGATTTAAGTCAACTCGGAACCTTGCTGAATATTTTGTGAGCCATCCTAAAGAAGCTATTTCTAACGTGTACGGTTTTATATGAAGGAGCACAAATCCTATTCCAGTGACGATGATTTCTATCTGGGTTTCTTTCTGAGGGTGTCGAAAACAGAGAATTGTTACATAACATAAAAACAGCTACTTCATAAATGTACAGCGAAGGCAGAGTCAGGATTTTCATGTTTATGAAAAACGGTTTGCAGCAGTTTATCAGTCGATTTGCGGCAGTTTATCGCTCTTTTTTGATATTTGAATATAAGAGTCTTATTCACAGAATTTCCTCAGAAAACTATTCCATATCGTAAGATAGATTCAACATAACCTCGGTATGCAGTCTAAACAGTGTCCCTATTAAACACCTTGGAGTCATATTTTCCACAGAATAATTATAACAAAATCAGTTAGTTTAAGAGTAATAGTCGTTCAACTTATGTATTAGAAAATTTCTTCCGTACTTCTTCTAACCTAATAAAAGTTCCTTAGAATAACACATTAAAAGTGGCTTTGATAAAGTAACTTGCTTATAACGCATAAAACCTAGAATTGAAAATTATACTAAAAAATATTTACGGAACCCTACAATGCGCGTGGCACGACACGCTCTTGGTTGGCTTTTTACAATAGATACACAATTTCAACAAAATGTATTAAGTGTTATTACACTGTACCAACTTATCATATTATATTTGCTTGTAATATTTCCATTTATGTGTTCTCAATGTCAAGGAAACATTCTACTCGAAAAACTCTCCTCATAAAATATTTATATACAATTCTGATAAGTAAGAATAACTTCAGTGGTTCTGATAAGGAAATTGATTGCTGGTGCGCCGTGTTTCGATGGGTAATTCATATCTCTGTGTAGAATGAAAGCTATATTCGTAATTACTGTTTCACTGTTTTCAGAACCAAATATTGTTTCACAAATCATGATATTACAAAAAAGCTGGCATTATGTTTAACCATATGAAACTATCATTATCTGTAAAAAATATTATTCCAGCTATTATCCAATGTAATTGTAGGAAACGTAAATGTATGAGGGCGTGCTAGTCACAATTTTAATAATCTGTAATATTAACGATCTTGATTTATTCAAAATAAGTGTCACACTTGGCGAAGAAATTACGGAGTAGGGTATCATCACGGGGTATTATATAACTTTAATATTCTGTTTTTCTATTATTTATGATATTACCTAGCGATCCTTTCATATTCTAGAAGTATTCTTGTGTTGTTATTGGTACGAACTTACAAATGGCCCTCTGTTATTCTTCAATACATTAATAATGGGAATAATGAGGAGGAGCTCGATGGCGCGGGTGGTTAGTGCGTCCGGCTGCGATCGTTGAACTTGAGCAACTTTCGCAGTGGTCAGTTATTGGATGGGTGACCAAAAATTACTATCTCGGCTCTTCCGTGCTTCGGAAGGCACGTTAAGCCGTTGGTTAGCACCCAAGAATCCGCACTGGGCCCACGTGGTGGGTCATGGCCCAATCTCCCTATTCCATGCATAGGGAAGGCCTGTGCCCCAGCAGTGGGGACATTAATAGGCTGATGATGACATTAATAATGTTATTATTTTAGCTGTTGGTTTTCCTAAAAAAATACAAATAAAATCTAAATTTCGTTTCATACCAATAATATTACACAGTTTCAGCTCATCCAAAACTGTCTTTCATGTTCACTGACATTTATAATATTATTTTTATACCCTAAAAACCACAAGCCCGAATTAAGAACAACTTTTTTTAACACATACACGGCATTCACATGTTATGAAATACAATCATTAGTTATATATTATATTGTGTATAAATTAAAAGTACGCACAACATTCCAAGCTATTTTGTAGGAACATGGCCGAAATCAGTAGTTATTCAAATTTGTCAATGACGTGGATATGCGGGCCAGGATATGTTAATTCAACGAAATATACAGCACTATGATTTGATTATGACTTCTTGATGGTTTTAATCAATTACTGCTGCACAAAATAGTCAGCAATCACAAAGATGATAGTTAATTTAAAATAACGTCCGCCGAGCACGGAGCCATGCGCGCTCCTTCTGTCACACGTCAACCATAAACTGTCATCCGTGACAAGACGGCCACCTCTTTAGAGATTGGTATTCGTTCAAAAACAAATTATTGGTACCGTAATTCAATAGATGCGTCTTCAAATTTAATAAAAAAATAACATACTTTAAATATCACTAATGACAAGATTTTGAAATGCACTACACTTTCATCGTAGCTTCGGATTGAATGAACACCACTAAAGTAAGAAAGTTGATTTAAAAGACTTTTTTGAATTTTCTCCAAACTCTGAGTATTATTTTGGTACGACGAATACCTCACAACACTACAATAATCCACATGACTTCATACCAAGGCAAAATACAGAATTTTTAAAGCTAGTTTCGATTTAAATTCTTGGTTTTCCTAAAAATAAAAGCTGATAATCTTAGAGATTTATTTATTGTATTATTGATGTGATTTGTAAATTGACTCTCAGAGTCAATAATAATTCCCAAATCTTTTATTTGATCTACTCTTGCTAAAACCATTCCAACCATACGTTGGTAATTGTTTTGAAACTTGTTATGCTTCCGGGAGAATTTTACAGCATTTATTGGTATTTAAAGTCATTGCATTTTAACAGCCTATCTCAAAGAAAGGGTTATGAAGCTAGAGGAATATTCACAAATGGTTCATGATATCCTTAATATTCCTCACAAGAAAAATCTAATATCGTTGACACAGATTATCGTGCTAATACTATTTCCAGCAACCTGCTTGTGACACACAATTACGTGGCCGTCACGGGACCAGACGAAACGACACAAGCGGAAAATATTGTAGATAAAAAATATATAGTGACATACTCCTCGGGTTAGAGTATTTAGATGCTATCACGATGGAATTGATATCGAATCGTGTTCACGCGCACTTCCATGACGTCGGTTAGTATATTCATTCCATTTAGTGCAGACTTTGTGTAAATTGTTTGTAAGTATATTTTTATCTCTCTTAACATTTGAGTGTGGCTTTGGATCGGTTCGTTTTGTTTAAGTATTTATCTTATTGGTTATCCACGCCCTTTTTTATGTAGGTATCAATGAACGGCAAACAATGATGATGGTATGTGACTACCATATTCTATAGATGCTTGCGATACTAAAGTAAAACTCGCTCATTGCCTATCCTGACCACATTTCCTAATTTGTGAAGCAATAGAACCTTCATCATTAGCACATACACCACCAAAAGTAAGTTTTATTTTATAGTAAGAGGAGTGCAATGGCGCAGGTGGTTAGCGCGCTCGGCTGCGATCGTTGAAGTTAAGCAAGTTTCCCAGCGGTCATTGGATGGGTAACAAAAATCTTCTATCTCGAGTTCCTCCGTGCTTCGGAAGGCACTTTAGGTCGTTAGTTCCGGCTGCATCTGCAGTCGTTAGCACCCGCTAATTTTCACTGGGCCCGCGTGGTGGGTCATGGCCCTATCTTCATATTCCATCCATAGGGAAGGCCTGTGCTCCAGCAGTGGGAACATTAATAGGCTGATGATGATGATGATTTTATAGTAGCGTGCTTTAAAAGTAAAGGTTATTTGTACAAACGTGTCCACCCATTGCTGATTACCAATCAAATATCACTATTTCCTATAACGACACACGTTCACCTATCTACATACGCTAAAAAAATTGCTCAAAAACCTATCGGTAACTTAACGATAAATCTCAAAGCACGTATCTGCATATCGGTGAAAAACCCACAATATACTGCGAGAGATTTTAAAATGAGCATGGGCCAGGCAACAATCTTAGGTATGTACGTGTGTATCTAAATACACCACACAATATCACATTGACCCGTACATATTGCCTACACGAACACAATATATCTAGGCAACAGTAACTTAAACTGGAACATAACTGTCAGTAATTACACATTTGAATTACGAAAGTCACGTAAGCGTAAAAGATATACAGGGCGGCAAACGGCATTGCCGCACACAGAGAAATTATTAAAAGAGTCACAATTTGTATACTACAGTACCCCTAGCACGAACCATTTTCGGATTCCAATAGTTTGCGAGTGCGAAATGTCATTGTAAAATTTTGCATGGAAACTTGAACAGCAACGCCACAAAGTACGTAACGAGAACTAGAAATCAGTACACATTTGACAATGACATTTCCGACTCGCAAAAGTTACTAATTCGATATTGGTTCGTGCTAAGGGTACAGAATGAAACACATTTTGAACATTTGATAAAAAAATAAAATTATCTTGCGCCGTTTCTTTTTTGTTGTACTTAGTTTTATTTTTTTTAAAAATAAACTTAAAAGATCATGATGTTCCTCTCATTCTAAATGCTATCTTATTTAGAAAAAAAATATACTCTCGGCGGTTATCATAAAATACATCATGTATTTATTTCACATTTCAGAGTTTGATTTCCGGTTGTGGCCGACCGTGATTTCTATGGCAATCGTTGTCGCTCACGACGTCATTTTGTTATATCTGACCGCTGAAGATTTTCAAATGCCTCGCGATCTTTTTTTCTTTTGGATTGGTAACAACAATATTAAAGAAAATGAGCGTAAGGTATTTGAAAACCTTCGGCTGTCAGAAATAACAAATAGAAATCGTAAGCGATAGCGATAGTCAGAGCAATTCCGTTAGGAGATTGAACCCCAGAGCTGGGCATATTATCTCATCACACACACATACACACGCATCGAATAAAATACTTTTTTAAGTAGGCTTTTGAATTTAAAATCATATTCTTGAAAAATAAAGCCTGGAAAAGATTCTATTCGTAGAGATATTTATAAAAGTATTAAAAATAATAGTTTTAACGGGATAATGGCTGGAAAATTATTAATGACCTTGTAGATTCGCCGTTCCTTTTGCAGAGGATTGGTTTCCGTTGTCCAAATAGAACTAGGTCTGACAACACGTTTGTTGAGTTATAAAACGATGTCTCATGCTTATAGAAAAATAGTGCTCAATAAATCATCTCAAAGGACACACGTATTTTCATTGCACTCCGTGCCTGCAGTAAGACATCGACCCTATTGCCATCAGCATAAGCCACATAATGGACCGTAACGAGCCGGATTTTTAATGAGCTACCGAACAAAAGACAGACAAGCGGCCGGCAGCATCGAACAAAAGACTGCAAAAAAAAGGGTTCTATTCAATTACGTGCATATTATGGACATTGCAAATTGACTTTAAAGTGCAAGTGTGAAGAGTCAACCTAAAACAAGCTATCGAAGATTTTTTATACAAGTTATTTGCAACAAACTATTATAAGTGGATATTTTTGTGAACGTTATTAATAAATTAAGCAATCGGTACTGAAAGTATGGCTATGGAGGGCACAAAAATGGAACAATTATTACTACAATTAGATGAAACGGCTACTTTAATGAATAAAACACAAATAAATTTGAAAAAGTGTCCAAAGGTGAGATTAACCAGGGGATATCTACAAACAAGAATACAGTGCATAGATGAATACTGGAACCTGTTTACTTCTACACATCGCGAACTTATAAAGATAACGCCGCGAGACAAGCGTGCCGACATCCCGTACTTCGTGAATGATGAATATGGTAACGTCGAAGATGTGTATATAAGCCTTAAAGCTGACATTCAAGATGCGATTTTACAAATTGAGGCATCAACGTCACCACATCGGTCACCGCGTCAAGAATCGTTGACGTGCAACGTGTCTGCAGATGCAGTCTCATCGCAAATTAGGCTACCTAGTATCCAACTGCCTACCTACACCGGAAATTATGACGAGTGGCCTACTTTCCAAGATTTATTTGTTAGCTTGGTACATGAAAACTCATCACTTTCGAACGTGCAAAAACTTCACTATTTGAAGACCAGCATAGCGGGTGAAGCAGAGGCGCTTTTGCGTCATGTTCGCGTTACAGATGCTAATTATGCCGACGCGTGGAACATCTTAAAGCAACGTTATGGAAACAAGCGTATTATAGTGCATTCTCTCTTAAATAGGTTATTTTCTCATAAAAAGGTAAGTATTCAGTCTGTCAATCAAATAAAAATGTTACTTGATAATACAACCGAATGCCTTAACACATTAAATAATATAAATATTAAAACCGATTCTTGGAATCCTTTAATTATATTTCTTGTAGTACAGAAATTGGACCAGGAGTCACGTAAAGATTGGGAAAATTTCGCATATAAAAATAATTCTGATGATTTACCATCGTGGTCGGATCTGAAGTGTTTTTTGGAATCAACTTTTCGTACATTAGAATTAGTAAACCCTACCGCGACTTTGTCTACAGAAAGGGTAAGAGAGAAAAATACTAGGGAACGTTCATTCCATGCTATGGCTCGTCCAGTAAAATCATGTTTATTGTGCAATGAAAATCATACTTTGTGTCACTGTAAACAATTTACAAATATGTCAATTGTTGAACGAAACAATTATGCAAAAGATAAAAAACTGTGTTTTAATTGCTTGTTGACAGGTCATTCTGTTTTAAAGTGTCGGTTACCAATGTCTTGTCGAATATGTCATAGGCGTCATCATACCCTTTTGCATCATATCAAGAAAGAAGAAAATTCAATTCATACGCGTGTAACAAATACAGGTGCAGAAGAGGAGGAGTTTCAAGTCAATACAATGATGACGTCACACTGCAATGCAAGGCAGGGATACGCTTTATTAGCTACTGCGCTAGTTAACGTGAAGAGTGACAACGGTCACACAACAACATTACGAGCACTTGTCGACCAAGGCTCACAAGCTTCTTTTATAAGTGAGAGGGCTACACAATTATTAAAACTAAAGAAGAAACCAGCACGAGGGAACATTACTGGAGTTGGTTCGTCGAAAACAAGGATCAATAGCATTGTGCAACTTCAGATTATTTCTAAATACGACGAAGAATTTTGTATGCAAACAGAAGCTTATGTTTTACCAAAACATATTACTACACAACTACCATCTAAGTCAATACAAATAGGAGAGTGGCCGCATTTGAAAAACTTACAACTAGCTGATCCAGCATACAATAGACCAGCGCCGATAGATTTACTGCTAGGTGTAAATGAATATGCACAAATTTTGCAAGAAGACTTAATAAAGGGACCTGCAGAATCTCCGTGCGCACAAAAAACTGCTCTGGGCTGGATTTTGTTTGGCCGATTAGGAGAAGGAACATATAGCTCGCCATGTTTAATGGTAATGCACCATCAAATAGACTTAGACGAAATGTTGAAGACTATGTGGGAACTAGACAGTGAAAAAAGCAGAAAACTAACGAAGGAAGAAAAACTCTGTGAAGAAATATATGAAAAAACACACAAGAGAAATAAAGAAGGCAGATACATGGTAAATTTACCATTCAAAACTGAAAACCCGAAATCACCAGAAGGAAACAGTAAAGAAATAGCTTTGAGAAGATTTTTACAATTAGAAACAAAATTACAAAAGATGCCGAAATTAAAAGAAGATTACACGAAGGTTATACAAGAATATTTAACGTTAGGCCATGCTGAAGAAATAACAGATAAGAGTCTTGAAAACAGAAGTGTTTATTTATGTCATCATGCGGTTATACGAAGTGACAGCGAAAGCACCCCGACGCGAGTGGTGTTTGACGCATCTTGCAAGGGCACAAACGGCATTTCTCTGAACGATGAACTACTTGTTGGTCCTGTATTGCAAGAAGATCTTCGCAGTATCATCTTGAGATGGAGGATGCACGCCGTATGCTTCGTCTCTGACCTGAAAAAGATGTATAGGATGGTATTAGTGGAAAGGAAACATACAGATTTTCAACGTATTTGGTGGAGAAATGACCCTAGTGAAAAAATGAAAGAATATCGTCTACTTACCG